TTTTTCTGACTAAGCAAGGATTCTACCTCAATTTTCTCATAACCTAGTTAAACTACTAGAAATCACAATCACTAAGAGCATGCTGTATTCTGTATCACGAAGTTTCTCACGGGCTAACTCAGGTTATGGGCAGCAGGGCTTGGCATAGGTTACACGGGCCCACACAGAGCTCTGAACTACCTGGAACAAACTTCTGTTGGTAACCACAGGTTTCACACCTATTTACACAACAGTGCAGGATGAAGGATTGACATGGAAAACAGTTTAACATTATCAAAGTGTATAAAAGGAATATTTAAAAGAACACCCTAAGAAATAGGGTAACAAAGGAGAGCACAGGACTGGGACTCAGACTCTTATGTCATTTACTATTTACTTTTTTCATTTCACTGAAAAGATGTTTTCTAATGATGAGAAGAAACAATCACTGTTGCCTACGCCAGATAGGAAGGTAAACTGGATTTATTAGTGACAAATTATAGCAGCAAACTATTTTAATCAAACATGCACAATGGCAACTTTTTAATTTAAAAACTCTCAATTTAAAACAGCTTCTAGAAATCTGATCACACAAACACACAGACAAACAGGAGTCTTTATTTTTAGAGGAAAAAAAGAGGGAGAGAAGTCATCAGAACAGTTTCATTTGTGTTTTTATATATAAAAGAAGGCACATCTGTACATTTTCCATTCATTATCTTGATTTACAAGTGCCTTGTCGCAAACACTGAACAACTGATAGGACATTAAATAAATTTTCACTTCAAGTTTACGTTAACCATGTCTGGGATGTCATCCCATACCACCACTCCTAACTGCTGACCGACTAGTAGGAGGCTGTTGTCTTGGTCAAACTTCAGCAGCCAGTACCTAAAGCCTTTGTTTACTTTAAAGCAAAACATATCCCACTATGATGCTTCATAGGAATTCAACAGAGTATTATTTTCTCAAGAAAATCTGTTTCACCTCAAAAAAAAAAAAAAAAAAAGGCAAGACCTTGCCATTCCAGGGTACCAGGAACAACTAACTGCATAGTTTGTCTTCTTGTGGCTCTAAGTGTCAATTAGGCATTTACTTCACATCTTACATAAAGAAAAAACAACTTAAGAAACACAATAAAAACTAAACGAAGAATAAAGAAAGGCTTGAAATTTTTGAGTTCACAGTAGAAGTCCCTTCCTTCTTACAACTTTCCTTTGCAGGACTGAAATAGACAGTAAGTAAAACTCCTCACAACATCCAAGCTACTTTAGTGCCTTTGTGACATTTAAAAAAAAAAATTTAAAGCACTTCTGAAAAACAACACTAATCCATCCTATGTAAAACACAATGCCTTAGAAAATTTTATCCAGGGCTAACAACTACCTAACACCAACCTCGCAGAAGTGTAATTCCTTTCACCGATTCTGAATTCGATCCCAGCTTACAGTGCATATTAATTCAAAATTACATAGCAAATCAGTACCAAATAATGTAGTAACCTAATCCTATCTTCAAAGGAAAAAAGACAGGTCTTCCTAGATCTATCATTAGAAGTGATAAAGAGTTAATTACTATGTTTAAGAATCACAACTGTTACGGTAATATTCATTACAATATAAAAAGCCTCTCTAGAAAGTTTTATTCTGCATACTGTATCTCTGCTCTTAGCTCTTTCGTGAAGTAATTTACCAGCACTGCCAACAATTTTTGCTGGATAGCAGCATTTCCCATTACAAGAGCAGTCAGCTGAGCAACGTCAGTCCAGTCTAAGCTCCTGAGAATAACAAGGGCTTCATCATAGAGCTTCTGCTGCTCAGCAGGAGGCAACTCCAGTAAAATCTGAGGGACCGGCCTGAACTGTCCAGTAGTCATCCAGGCACCAAGCAATCCACCAAATGCTCCCCCTAGAAAATAAAGAGAGATGTTACTCTCAGATCACTTAATGTTACAACTTGAAATTCTATCAAGAGGCTGCATTGGTAATGTTCCCACCTTTACCAGAAATCAATGCAGAGTTGTGGGGACAGGATACAACTTTAAACTAGGTTTATACACTTTATAAACTAGGTATATACTCTTTAAACTAGGTTGATACTTTACTTCAGAGCACAAAGAACTTTTAAAGCTTTTTACATCAACAGCAATTACAAAGAAACTCATTACAAAAATCTGAACTAACAGCTTAAAACCCTAACTCAGAAAAGAGACATTATTCCTTAAGGCACTGATCTCTTTAGGATAAGTTGTATCACTAAATAAACCCTACCCAAATCAAAATATATAACCAACAGCTGCTTTATCAGTCCCCATCCACACGTAATCTCTTACTACAGCCCTTCAGAATGATCCAAGCTTTCTAGTTCTGTAAAATGGGAGACCGAAGCCTCCCTCATTCAGGAAGTCAACACTTCAGAAGGTGTTCCTGCCCCTACGCAGGAACAAGCATCAGTTTTGTGGGGGTATTTAGACATATTCAACCTTTCATCTGGGAAACGAATATCCTCTTACCAGCCAAAAAATACTCTCAAAAGCAGAGTTGCTCTAAGTCATCAAGACAACAGCAGAAGAATCCTGTATAACTGAGGTGGTAGTTGTGACCTCTACTGCTGAGACAGCGTGACAGCCCTACACAGGTTTGCTCCTTCAAACCTACCAGGCCAACTGGCCAAGTAAGTGCTTTTATAGGGAAACTTCACAGGATTTAGAGCACAGCCAAGACTCAGATATTGTGATGGAAGGAGTATCTTCACTACTGAGGTGTCATAATTCACTCTGTTTCCAGAATTCCCATCCTCAGACAGTACTCCTAAAAGGTGCATTACACACTCACTAGGATACAGTTTTTCATTGGATAAAAGTTCTTTAATTTGCACATTTTATTGAGTTGGCAATTTTTTCCTGTGATATCAGTGAAACAGTTGAAAGCCAATGGCTGAATGTATCTGCCAGGAACCTTTATGAAAATATTTGATTTAGGGGCACTTAATGCAAGAGTCACTAGAAATATACTGCTAGTTTTTCAGGTGGGTGCTACAGAGGGAAGGTAACTTATCCTCTAACTCTTTGTGGAGGACAGCAGTAAACAGAATCCTTGCTATGCAGTCACTGACCTACCTGTGTAAGCTGAAATACATTTCAGTGCAATCTCTGTAACACTGCAAAAATAGCCACAGCCCCACGGACATTTACTTCTACAATTTTAAAAGTTAAACGAGGATCTTCTGATTTAGTTGCAGTATAGCTACAATACAGCTTTTTTTCTATATTATTTGTTATTATATACTAACAAGTAAAATTGTTCCAGCATCTCCATTATCAATGGGTGAAGAACATTGAACTTGACTTGGAGATACAGACAACTTAAATACTGGAACAAATGAGGAAACACATCCAAGAGTAACTTCAGTAGATCTAATCATCTCACTCAGGAAGGTGACCAATCACATTCTAATTGTACTTCAGACCTTATATACTTATAAGAAACTCATACTTTGAGCCCTTGCTGACTTCAGGCATGCATCTCCCCCAAATTATTATTTTCTGCTATTAATTGTTGTATGTATAACAAAAGCAACCATCCAGCTTTATTTTGTACTTTCTGTTATAGTTCTCCACAGACTATTTGGTATTTTTTATAATTCAACCTCACTAACACTCAAGCAGGTATTCCGGAGAAAAAGATCACGTTCACCCAGAAGTGGGCAGCAGGCAATTTTAAAATAGACAAACATTATTTTTAATGACATCATTTAGGTAGATGATCCAGTTTCCCTGCTAAGGTTTGACTGAGAATACTTACCTTCCTTTGGAGTCCAATTTCCTTTTCTCTGTACTCCTGGGAATCAGTATTTTTGCACCTGAGCTCACCTGCTCCTCATTCTCCATCATCTTTCACGTTCCTTCACCACTGGTGACTCTTCCCCTCTCCTATTCACACCCCTGCTAGGGGTGCAGACTCTGCACTAGCAGAGCCTACACCAACAAGCTCAGAGCCTTTAGGTTTGCTCTGTTCTGTGCCACACCTAACCATGGTCTATCTCAGTGGATGGGAAGTAGCACCCTACCTGGCAAAAACAAATGAGTTTTTGAACAGAGGAACCAAAATCTAAACCCCAAATATCTGCAGGGCTTCCTGTTTTCAGCAAAGCAGTTGCAGCCAGATGGTTACTATCATTCCAGAAAAAAGCATGGTACCATGTCTTGCTGATGCACACCTTGTCAAAAACCCCTTACAAAAAGCTGAATGACAAACTGGCATCTTGTTATAGCTCAGCAACACAAAACCTCACCACTGCCTGCACTGCCCTTCACTTCACACGTACTACACACTGGCCTGCTGGTTTCCCCATTCAGTCTGTTGGCCGGTCCGCATATTCCTAGAAGGAAACACTTACCCACAGCGATGCCGGCGGGACCCCCCACGAGGCCCCCGATGAAGGCTGTGGCACCCGCGAGCAGCGCCCCTCGACCAGAGTGTTTAACAGCAGCCGTCATCCCCTTCTCCCGAGAGAGGTGGCAGAACAGCTGCATCACGTCGTCGGCCCTGATGGGCATCTTGGCTCCTTAAGGTCCTGAAAGAGATGATTTAAGTCATGTTTTGATCCCTGAAATAGGGACTAAATCTTGCTGATCAACTTTTTTTTTTTTTTTTTTAAAAAAAAAAAAGAGTTTAGGAGACCACGAGCTTGAAAAGGTACGGTAAATGCATGAAAAGAAACCACTTCCTCATTCCTTTAAAAACAAGTCAAAAGATAAATCTATTTACAAATAGTGAAGCAGCAAGTGAAACTAAGAGACAGACCAGAGAAATCTGTATTGATGACAAATTCAAAAGTCTGAACATGAGCAAGTAACAGCAATGAAAAATTTAAGAAAGAGTCTGTCTAATTTTCAGCCTATTATCTTTGCCTCAAGCAATTGCCATGTTCATTCAGCACTGCATATGGTTCCAGAGAAAAGACAGAGCAAGGCCACATTTTAACATAACTAGAGAATTATAATTGACAATCTGACAGGTATTTCCTCCTTGTCGCAGCTCTTCCAATAACTAACCTGTTTATTTTCACACACCTATTCTCATCTCTGTCTTGTGAAAGGTTTAAACACTTCCAGCCTGTTTTCTGAAAGGACATGGGTGGCTGAACACAGAACTGAGGTCAGCAAGCAAGAATAGTCTGAAGGCAGGAAACAGACTTGGAAGGGAGTTGGAAGAGACCACTGGGAATACAAGTAAATGAGGGGGGCAACAGAGACAGGGAATCAGAAAGGTGCGGGTGTCTGTGTGCCAGGAGACAGGACTTAAACCAATAAATCTCCTTTGTATCATCAGGCAGAGGCAGGAACGGGAAAATAGGAGAGATTGGAAAGGACAGTTCAGAAGGAAGGCTTCCTTGGAAACGCTTTTCATGGAGTATAAACTAGCAGCCTTTCAGGGCATTCACTTTTCCCAGACGGAAACAGCAGAAACCAGGAGATGCTGCTGCTCAAGGCAGCAACACGCTGCAGACCAGCAGAACCTCAGCTCTTGTGAAGGAGCTCCCAGCTTCTGCTGGGTTACACCAAAGCAGCCCAAAGCAGTCACTGCCTCCTAGAGATCTCTCATCCTATCCCATGGGATCACAAATCTGCTGGCAACACAGAAGTTTGCTGATCTTCTGGCAACTGACCTTACAATGCTCTCGCTTGCTGTCACTGACCACCTCCCATCAAAATGACTTCCACAATTTCCTAAAGCAATTTAACTGCCATGAAACTCAAACAAGAAACCTCGGGTTTCTGCAGTATGTATTATCCTCAAACTAGAGAAGAAACAGCAAAAAATAGTAATTCATTGTTTTTGCTTTAGTCCTCTCACAACCCCTCCAAACGGAATAGCCATCAGAAGCTAATACGTGTTTGGATTCTTTTTTGTCTTGACTGAACAAGGTTCTTCACAAAGCAGGAAACTTTACCCTCAACTTTAAGTGTTTCAAAACAAAATTCTAAAAGATATTAAGAGACATGCTCCTTTTTGATCTCTTGGCAAATTAACTTTTAGAAGTCATGCATCAAGTGCTGCATTCAATAATCAGTATTAAGAAAGTTATAGTTAACTATAGGCTGAAGATTTTTAAGTGTAAAGCACAAGATGGACCCATTAAAACACAAAATATATATTAAAACATACATGCAATTAAAACCTTTCCCTAGAGATTCCTGTGTTTAGCAAATGATTGTGCAAATGGTCGAGTAGGCCAAAGTTCCAGAAATCAGAAGAACCAGAAGAAAAACAAGAAAGTCAGACCATCATTAACCTGATTTGATGATTTCAGTTTCTGATGAAGGTACTCAGATGATTTCCAGCAGCGATGTATTTTTTAACCACACAGTTTTAGAAAAGTAATTTATTTTAACAGTGTATTAGCAAGTTGCAGCACAGAGACTTCAGAACAGTTTCATAAGCAGGCAAAAAAAAAAAAAAAAAAAAAAAAAAAAAAAAAGAACACAGCAGCCAGCTTGCTTCAGGCTAAGGCAGTCAAAAAAAGGCATACAAACCTCTGCAGCCACAAACCTACCATTACATAGACCGTTAGGGTCAGCAAGAAGCCAACTGCAAGAATGAAGCATATAAAGCTATTTTTGACAACAATCTAATGATCAGAACGACTGGAGGACGAGAATAGAAAGATGATCATAGCTGAAAATGTTAGTGAACTACAGAGGAGCCGGAATCTTACTCCAGATTAAAAGGGGCTGGTATTTTATGTGTGTCAGAGGCAGAATCAAAAGATAACCAAAACTATTTTTAAACTTCGATTTTGTAACTGACATACCAAAAAAAAAAAAAAAAAAAAAAAAAAAAGTAATTTGATTCTAGCAGTACAAGTGCTGACTTCAGATTGGTCTGTACAAATTCTTCCCAAACATGAAGAAACACAAGGAATGTAAAATACTGGATCTGCCCCAACAGGGGGGTGCAGATGACAGTGACATACATAAAACAGCCTGGCTTTCAGAATTGTTGAGTCCCCACACTTCCTTCTGCCTTCATGTGACACTGAGAAAGCTCACCACTTCATACAGAAAATACCAAGGGTTTTGGAAAATAAACTTGAGAAACCAAGCTTCATTGTACAACAGTACATAAAGTGTATAAAAAGCCTTTCTGTTTTTTTCTTCTTCCCCTGTCGTTCACATTTGACTGCCATCTCCCACCACCCATTTTGTGCTCTCCCCAGATCTCATCTGAGATGCTGGACTCCGGATACATGGCGCGACGCTCGCTCTTTCTCTCCAGGGACCGGGTTTGCAAAGTGAGCAACTCTACCTACCCCGAGCGAATGCCATGTGTCACTCGGTTCAGAATCTACAAGCAGTGAGTTCCACTAAACGGCATAGTCTTTCAACAACAAAATGACTACTTGCTGAGAAGTGTCATAGAAAGAATTAAAACAACAGAAGGACTCCATCCTACCCAAATCACTGAAAGTCCTGTTAACGCAAACAACTGTAGAGGGCCCCAGATGCTTCTCTGGTGTAAATCTGATTTCAACGTTCTCCTATTTAACATTCCCATCCTATTCCCTAGAGTGAAGTTCCCTCACTTCAGGGAACGATGATTTTAATACAGAAAAGCCACTTTATTTCCTGGATTCACAGTTCCACTTAAACAGAAGAACACTGAAACTACAGGTACTCTAACCAGCACACTGCCTGACACCGGAGAACCATCCCTCATTGCTCCTTACAGTCTCTTAACTTACTGAGATAACTGCATATACACCCTTCGACACTCATCTCTACAGATACAAATGCATAGAACAAAAATCAAACGTAGCTCATGAGAGCCAACTCCAAATATAACAAGCTATAGAGAGGTCTACACGCTCCACCAGGAGCTGGCTTCCTCTTGGTGGACAGGGCACAGGGATAAACAAGAACCTGAAGAGAGAGCCTCCACCCAACTGCTAGGACGCACACACAAGATCCATGCAGGTCTTCAAACTGAAGCTCCATGGTAAGAGAAACTACATACACAAACAGGGACATCCAGGAGATAACCCAGGATAATTTCTTCCCGTCAATATCCAAACACAGGTTCCCTGTGTGCAGCTCCATCTGTACAGCAGCCTTTGTGACAAGTCTTGGAGCAAGTATGAGATCAGCAGCCAGAACAGACACAAAGCACTTGGCAACTGAGAGTAGAGAACACATCTTTACAAATGAGCACTCACAAAGATGCAACTCAGTGATTACACTGGCCAGAAGGCCAATATGTGAACAACTGAGGGGCAGGAAGGGAAGCAAGGTACGCCTATGAAGAAGGACGTTCACCTCAATAGTCCATAGCATACTGTTGGCTTGAGTAACATTTGTGCTCCCAAACCAGAACTTTCTGAAGTTACTTTAAAACCTACCTTTAGACCCCTGCAAATCAAGTGGCATGATTTAAATCACAGTTAGTCTCAACAGCCATTAAAACTTGCTTTGCTTTAAATATAGAAGTTTTTACCCTGTTAACAGTCTTTTCAGTTATTTTCCTAAGGCAAGGTTTATTCTTACTGGTTGGTATGAGGATTAAAACATGCTGGTTATAGCACATTATCCTTGTACTTGGTGGTTTTCCCTCCCAAGCATAAAGACTCACTACATCTACGAATAGTCGTTACAATAATAATAACGTTGCTGACTACACATTTATTCAGATATTCTTTTGTTCAGGTTTCAGTTATGTTAGAAAATGGTAAGAAAACAATTTATTTGCTAGACAATCTGAATTCAATTCAAATGCACAAAGCATTATTAAGATTTTGTAAAAACTGTGATCTTAGAGGTGTTGCTTAGTCTCTTCTTTCTCATTTATCAAACCATATATGTTTACCAAAGCACTTAACTAGTTTATTTAACTAAAGAAGCAACTCATTTACTCATTATGCAAACAACCTACATCCTCCTCTTACGTAGGAGCTGATTTTACAAGACTCTTTGCTACCTACGAATACAGGTAAATATTCATTGTAACTAATGAAAATGTCTGCCTTCCACTAAGGCTAAAGGAAAACTGGTACCCACCCTGTTTAGACACTCTTGAATGTCCCATTTACCTGGACTTCTAAGTCACTAAATATCAGTAGGTGATTAGCCACGAGTCCCTCAAAGCACAAAGAAATCACCAGACACACTCAACTTCTTTTTCAATTGATAGAGCAGGAATAGAAAGCTTTTATTTCTTAGCCAGCTTGTCCATTTTGAAGACAGACAGCAGATGCAAAAATACTTTTTCTTTCAGTTCTTATTCTGAATAAGTTCAGTTCTTATTCAGAATAAGAACTGAAAGAAAAAGTATTTTTGCATCTGCTAGTGGGGACTGAAGCAAAAACGTCAGCAAGGAAAATGAAATGGAAAGCGAAGTTGGCAACAGCAAAGCTCTAAAGCAACCTGGCACATAGCAGTGCCAAGACTAAGGTCTGAACTGGCCCTGACGACTAAAGGTGCTCTCCCCGATGCAGCTGCAAAGTCATAAGCATGAACTCATTAGAATTAACTTAGACAACACTAAGGATATGCAGGTTATTTAAACCTTTATGACTTTCAAGGACACAATAATCTAATCATGCTTTTGATTCTTTACATTTGCCTACCACA